AATGATGAGTTAGGTGATGGGATAGGGTTTGACACCTCTACAAGTAAACAAAAGGTTAAGGGTTTGAATCTTTCCCATACAGGTCTTATGCATTAACAGTACTATAACAATGAAAAGGGTAAAAACATAACCCTATGGCAAAAGCTAAATCAGAACATCTAAGACAAACTGGCAATATCAATCAAACAAACAGATAGGCTTTTCTTGATGTTCATTATCCATACTGCAAGAACTCAGAAATTCAAGATGTAACATTTTTAGGTGGAAACTTCGCAGGATTTGAACTTGCCTGTATATTTTATGGAGGATGTATCTCAACCCAGCTGTGTTAGGGACCCATTCAATGAGTCCACATTCCTCATTCAATGGAATGACAGCCTAGGAATAGACAGATATAAAGATATTAACCCTAACCTAGCATCAGTGATCCACTGTGCTGATCGAGTAATAAAGATATCTGCCACAGTTGGCAGAAGGTTGTGGGTTTAGGTCTCAATCAAGCAAACTTGTAGCGTCTCTTTTTGCTATCTCAACAAAGGCAAACAGAGCTTTATAACTCTACATCAGTGATGCTTTACTTAGATTCCAATTTAAACCATCCACTGGATACCAATCCAACCAAACATTTCTTGGTCATGAAAAGGATGGCTCTTACGTATGTCCTGATGTGAAGCTGAGCACGACGCGACTCAGCATCCTTCCTCAAACATTTATTGACAACTCCGTTGAATTCCATCAAACGATTGTCCTGCCTCAGATCATCCTAAGACAGAGACAAGCAATCTGAGGATTAATGTCATAATAAATATTGAGAGTTGAATTGTTTGGAATTCTCAAGAAAAAAAGCATCTCAAGAAACACAAGTCTCCTGGAAGTCTGAAGTACTACCAGAGAAGACCAAATGCATGCTTTCATCTGATGAAGTAATTGACAGGTTTTAATAAGATTTGAGTCAAATAAGCAATTCAAAGCAAACAAAAAATCTTGCCTCTGACTGTCACAGCTAAGACTTGCCAACATGCATGAGAGTGAAGATTATATTTTTTCCCGATTACTTTAAGCACGTATAATTCAGCATAAAACCCTCACTAAAACTCCTGGTTAACTTGGTTTCCTCACTAAAATTTCTGGTTAACTTGGTTTCCTCGCTAACACTCTTGCTCAACTTGGTTTCCTCACTAACACTCCTGGTCAACTT